GGCTATTTGTCAGTCGATGTAGCAGCACTCCGTTGCGAGTCAGGCTATTTGTCAGTCGATGTAGCAGAACTCCGTTGCGAGTCAGGCTATAAGATAGTCAATGTAGCAACATTTACGCATGTTTTAAAAATGTTTTTTATTAAATCAATAACAAAAACACCACTAATTAAAAAAAACTTTCTAGTCGTTATAATTGCGGTTTTTTAAAAATTTTTTAAAAAATAATTAAATTTAATGTACTTCCGCATAAATTAATTGCTTTGACATTTCGATGACAATCAAAAACAGCTTAAGAGACGAGGTAATTAAAATTGTAGTCGTAAGAGACTTTTTTTACATTAAAACGCTCTTTCGACTACACTATATGGGTATATATATATACATATATATATTTATATATATATATATAAATATATATATATATATATATATATATATATATATATATATATATATATATATACATACATATATATATATACACACACACATATATATATATATATATATATATATATAATAATCCATTGTTGTAGCGTGGTAGCCCTCCTATCAAAAAACTTGCGTTATATATATATATATATATATATATATATTTATGTATATATATATACCCATATAGTGTAGTCGAAAGAGCGTTTTAATGTAAAAAAAGTCTCTTACGACTACAATTTTAATTACCTCGTCTCTTAAGCTGTTTTTGATTGTCATCGAAATGTCAAAGCAATTAATTTATGCGGAAGTACATTAAATTTAATTGTTTTTTAAAAATTTTTTTAAAAACCGCAATTATAACGACTAGAAAGTTTTTTTTAATTAGTGGTGTTTTTGTTATTGATTTAATAAAAAACATTTATAAAACATGCGTAAATGTTGCTACATCGACTATCTTATAGCCTGACTCGCAACAGAGTGCTGCTACATCGACTGACAAATAGCCTGACTCGCAACGGAGTGCTGCTACATCGACTGACAAATAGCCTGATACACAAGGGAATGCTGCTACATCGACTGACAAATAGCCTGACTCGCAAGGGAGTGCTGCTACAACGACTGACAAATAGCCTGACTCGCAAGAGAGTGTTGCTACATCGACTGAGGGTTTGGTTTGGCCAGGCAGTCTATCAATTAAAAAAAAAAATTTAATTTTGAAAACTTTTTCTGGTCTGGTTTATTAACGCGCTCTCGAAAACTACAGTTTATGGGAAACTTTTTTTGATGCCATGCAAGAGACATGCAAGAGTATATATATATTTATATGTATATATATATATATATTTATATGTATATATATATATATATTTATATGTATATATATATTTATATATATATATATATATATATATATATATATATATATATATATATATATATATATATATATATATGTATATATATATATATATATATATTTATATATATAAATAAATATATATATGTATATATATATATATGTATATATATATGTATATATATATATATATATATATATATATATATATATATATATATATATATATATATATAAATATTTATATATAAACAGATACTGGCGAAAAAAACACATACTGAAACTTTTTAGTCAATGTGTAATAACTAATAAATTTAAATATTTCACAACCTGGAGGTAATCCATTGTTGTAGCGTGGTAGCCCTCCTATCAAAAAACTTGCGTAAAAAGTTGCTTAAAACTTTTGCATTATTAAAATGATTACAGAATTTTTTAAAGAGAACAACTGGCCAAAACCTGATGGCAGAGGGAGTGAATCATGTAAGCAGCTACATGAATGGTGTGGGAGTATATCAAAGAATCTCATGAACTTTGCTGATCAATTAAATCTACTTGAGAGCAACAAAAATGAGAAAAGCAAAGAAACAGCAAAACTCAAAGAAGATTGGAATCAGCAAAAAAAGTAAATTCTTCAAGCACCAGCAGCAATTGGGTTGAAGTATTAAAACAAGGTGCTAAAAATGCTAAAAAACCAGCTGATCAACTAACTGTAGCAAATGCAACTATAAGTGAGTTAAATTAAAAAGAAAGAAGAAAAAAAACGTAATTGTTTATGGAATACATGAATCCGAAATGGAATTTTTAACAGATAAAAAAGCATATGCTGACAAAAAAATCAAAGAGATTTTTAATGTAATTGGCAAAAGCAATGTTTCACCAGTTTATGTAAGAAGACTAAAATCGAAAGATACAAATAAACCTGGTTTAATAATAGTTAAACTAAGTGATGTTTCATTAAGAAATCCACTTCTTCTAGCAGCAAAAAATATGAGAGAAAGAATGTGAAAAAAAGTTAGAGAAGAAGGTTACAAATCAATTTAACTAAGTTCAGATTTAACTGAAGCACAAAGAATTTTGATATGGCATTCGTGGAAATCATATTGTCAAATGCTCAACAAAACTCAACAAAATCATTTCAGTCCCTATCTCTGTGCAACCTCTTTAGAAAATAAATTTGAATTTATTATTTTATGAATAATGAATTTAAGGTATTAGTAGACATGTACTGTCCACAAATTATAGCTATTAGTGAAACATGGTTCAAAAGCATCTCAGTTGTTAATCTAAATGGCTATAATCTTTATAGAAGTGACAGAAATGATGTGCACAGAGGAGGTGATGTGTGTCTATATATTACTGAAACTATTAAATCATTAGAGCTAAGTGATGTTGTTTTTAACTTAAGTAAAATTGAACAAATTAGGGCTACAGTATATTTTGAAAACAATAAGTATTTAGTTGGTTGTATCTACAGACCAAACGATTTTATTAAACGATTTTCTTTTTCAAAAAGACTATGTTGACAGAAAAGACAAATTTACAGGGGATTTTAATTTCCCATCGATTGTATGGTCAAATGGATAAATCACAAATATCAAAAATGAAAATGGCACTGGACATAACTTTAGTGAAACTCTTAGCAAAACATATCTTTATCAGCATGTAAATGTTCCAGCTTTTCAAATATTAAATAATTCTGCTACTAACATTCTTGATCTAATCTTCACAACTCAGCCAGGAATCATCTGCCCTATTGATCCAAGATCTGTCCTTGGTAACATTAAAAAAGGTCATATCGTCATCTTTTTTGATTTTATTATTAAAATAGGGTTAATAACTCATCGCACAGCTACTTAAAGTTTAATTACAAAAAAGCTGACACCAATAAAATCTCTGACTATATTACAAAAGTTGATTGGGTAATGCTTTTTGAAACTTTTTCTTTTCAGGAAATGTATGACAAACTATTTCACTTTTTAAATGTAGCATGTAATCATTTCATTCCAGTGCTTGATGTATCTCAAATAAAAAAACTTTTTAAATGTAGCATGTAATCATTTCATTCCAGTGCTTGATGTATCTCGAATAAAAAAACTTTTTAAATGTAGCATGTAATCATTTCATTCCAGTGCTTGATGTATCTTGAATAAAAAAACAAATTCTCCATGGATCAAAAATGATCTTAAAAATCTAATTAAAAAATAACAAAATCTCTGATACCTGAACTGTGCTTGTAAACTGTGCTTGTAAAAGTTCTTACTATATGTAAAGAGTACAAACTAACCTGCAAGTTAGTTTAAAAAGAAATTAAAGTAGCTCGTTTTGCATATAAAAATGTTCAAATCGAATCCAGAACTTCTGTATAAATACCTAAACAGTCAACTAGTCAAAGAATCAATCAGAGCCTTTAAAATAGCTAATGGTGATCTAACTCAAGGACCTAGAGAGATAGCTAATCTACTCAATAAATGTTTCCAAGATGTTTTTGTAAATGAAGAAGAGGAACTTTTAAATTTCACAGGTGAATTCAACGAATTCGAAATGATATCACCTATAGTATAATTAGTAAAGTATAATTAGAGCTAAAATGAAAGAGTACCTGTATAAAAATAATCTACTAGCAAAAGAGCTAGTTTCCATGATCTAAACATTGTCTACAAATGGTCTCAAACTTGGTATCTTTTGTTTAACACCTGTCAAAGTCTGTAGTTATGCATTATGGCCACAATAAACTATTTATACAATTTAAACAGTATTCAATTAAAGAATTCAGGTACAGAAAGAGATCTTGGTGTGCTTTTCAATACAAATCTAAAATGGAAAAATTAAGTGATGAATGCTTCTTACAAAGCAAATCAAATGCTTGGTCGTATTAAAAAATCGTTTATTTCTATTATAAGTTACTTTGTTTGCTTTATTTTACTTTTATTAGGTATGGTCTCCATTTCTTAAATCAGATTGTGACTATATCGAAAAAATCCAGCACAAAGCTACTAAACTAGTATCATCAATCTTTCCTATACAAAAAGACATGAAGAATTAAACCTAACTACACTAGTGGAAAGGAGACAAAGAGGAGATCTAATACAAATGTATGAAATTATAAATAATATTGGCAAATTAGAAAAAGCCATTCGTTTTTCAATCGTTAATAATCATACGAGAGGTCATTGCTTTAAATATTTCAAGGAAATGACATAACATAAGTACAGAGAAAACTTCTTTAATAAAGTAGCGAATTTATGGAACTCTCTGCCAGAAGAAGTTGTTAAATCGCCTTCAGTAAAGCAACAATCAATCGTTTTAGCTGTCAAAGTGTGCCTGATAACACACTTGCTCTGCCGTTTACTACTAACTACTACTAACTATATATACATATATATATATATATATATATATATATATATATATATATATATATATATATTATATGTATATATATATATATATATACATATATATATATATATATATATATATATATATATATATATATATATATATATATATATATATATATATATATATATATATATATATATATATATATAAATTAATGTATAATATAATTTCAAATTCCAATACATTTACATATATATATGTATATGTATGTATGCATGTATGTTTGTATTTATGTATGTATGTATGCATAAAAAAAGTACAATAAATATATATATTTTGATTTTTTATTTCTGTTTTTTTTTCATAGGGCGTGGTATAAAACTTGATAGAAGAGGAGAAGGTGATGTTTGGGTAAGATGTTTAAGTGACCAAAGCGTATTTGTCTCGAGTTATTTCCTTGACCGACAAGCTGGGCGTTCGCCTGGCGATGCTGTCCATAAAATTTACCCACAAGCTTATATTAAGGTATTTGATCTGCGAATGTGTTATGAACAAATGAAGCAACAAGCACAGGCTGCTCAAGCAGCTGCTGCTGCTCAAGTTGCAGCTGTAGCAGGAGGTGCCGGACCTGCTTATAGTTTAAATCACCCATCTGCGTCACTTGGAGTCGATGATTTGCGCAGATTATGTTTACTTAGACTTAGTTTTGTAAAAGGTTGGGGTCCTGATTATCCTCGTGTTCATATCAAACAAACTCCGTGTTGGATAGAGATACGTTTACATCGTGCATTACAATTATTAGACGATGTTTTACATCAAATACCAATAAATGAACCGATGCCTAGTGATCATTAGTTCATAATGCAGTTGTGACACTCAAAGCATTCAATAAATTTTACCTAAGATACTTCAGTACCTTTATCAGGCTGATTCATTTTACAAGAGTTCTGACGAGATTTTATCTACTTTCGACTATAAAAGCATTATTTTATTAATGGCTTTTTTTGTGTTTCATTAAACTTTTTCTTATGGTTTGTATTGCATTACACCTGGAACCAGTGTGTTAAACCATCGTTAGATAGGGTTGAAAAAGTTTATTTTGTCATAGAAAGATTTTACCTCTTGCCAATAAAAAAACATTTTTGGAGATTCTGTTCTGAGAAATTTCTGTTCTAGCAATCAAAATATTTTTTTTTTTATTTATAAAGTAATTTTGTATTGCTGAATAAATTATTTTGGACTAAAAAACATGAATCTTAAGAGTGGATTTAAAATCTTTTTGCAAGTTAAGTGACGGAAATTTTTAAAGTATTTTTACGACAATTTTTTTCTTTTGTTCTTTTTTAATATTTTATTTTTGAAAACTTTACTAAGAGATTTCAAAGATTATTTGTTTGTTTTCAAATTTTATTTTGTTTTCACCCAATTAAATTTATTTCACTTAATTGCTGTTGTTGATGGAATTTCTATTACTAATAAAAAATAACTGTAGAATCATCGAATTGTAGCTCAAATTATGACTGGAAACATAAAAATATAAAAAAACAAATCTCTACCCGTTTATTTTAGATTTTGCTTTTGCATTAATTTTTTTTTTTTTTTTTTTTTTTTAAAGTGAATAATTTATAAAAACCGAATTTTAAAATAGGACTTTTATTTTTTTAAGTTTAAATTTTTTTTTTTTACTATTTATTACTTTTATGCTTAGAATTTTGTTTTGTCCAAATCTTTTATTTTTTTTTTGTGGTATACTTTAACAGGCATTTTTTTGTGGTGCGTCTCTATTATAAATGGTTTTTAAAAATGTGTTTTAGTAGAAATTTTTATATAAAGTGTATAAATTGTTAGATAAATGATTCGATTTGTTGTTTGATTAGAAAGACTGGATTTTTTCAAAAATTTTGAATGCGCTATTGGGTATTTTTATTATTTTGAACAAATATTGTTAAATATTATAGATGTTTTTTACACCTATTTTATTGGCTGCCGGTCGTGCAGGTTGGCGCCCAAGAAGTCTTGGCGTACCTGGAAAGCAATGGATAGGGTAATGTTGCTGAATTTTAAGTTATTACATTCTATTCATATATAGTATGATTTTTATCTACATTCTATTTATTATAAGTATAAAGATCATTAGTTAATTTTTTTTTTTTTTTGTGTATAGTAAAAATCGTCGTGTGCGACATGAGAGCTCTGGAATGCGTAAAACGAAAAGAAACTTGGAACTTAGAATCGCAGGTGTCGAGTCAATGATTGCGTTTCCTTATTTAACAAGAGTATGAGCTCAAGTTATTTTAAATTTCTTTTCGATAGACCTTTTTATTAATCCCTACAACGAGTAGTATAATATATAATGCGAAAACGAGGCTAGGTTTGTTTATTTTTATTATTATTATAACAGCTTTTTATTATTATTATTATTATTATTATAACAGCTTATAAATTCATTTGTTTTAACTTAAGCTTATAGCTTTACAAACTTCGCCTCGTTTTTAAATATTAGCTAATATTAAATCAGTAGTTAATAAAATGATCTATTGTCTTACAGGAAGAAGCCGCGATGCCAGAAAAGCTAGAACAACAGATAGCTGATCAAAAGCGCCGTATTTGGCAGAAAAGACATTTGGGTCCTGATGTATTTGGACTGGGTTTGGGAAAACCAAGTGTTCTTGATCATCTAAAGGTTTCGGATACTAGGCGCTACAATAGTAAAAATCAGAAATAAAAATTTTATTCCAATAAAATTAAAAAATTCAAATGAATTCGTATAACTTGGGCGCTATTCCGTCGATTGGAAGGACTGGCGTAGTTGACAGGCATTTCCCTATGAGTCTTGTACTAATGCACTGTAATTAGAAAATATATTTTTATATATAAAAAAATATATAGAGATTTAAACTTCCTTAGTGATGTTAGAAGACCTAATATGGAAAATATATATATATATATATAATATATATATATATATATATATATATATATATATATATATATATATATATATATAAAACATGTTTCCTTAATAATAAAATAATATTTCAAAATTAATATACACATTTTAACAAACAATTACTCTTTTTGATTGCAAGTCATAAAAAAATATTATTATTTTGTCATTCCTCTTTTCAACGAAGTGACTTTAGCTGTTCGGTCTGGCATATTTTTAATACAGTTTATTGCTGCTATCTTAATTTTATCATTGTGGAATAATTTTTTCAATGATAGAGTAATCTTTCAATCAAATTCCTTTTGTTTGTTGAAACCTTGGAAGAGATTTTCTTCTTAAGAATGTTCCACAAGTTCTCAATCGGATTCAGGTTAGGAGAGTTCCCTGACCAATCTAAAACGGGGATATTTTTGTTTTAAGAAAGTTCGTGATCCTTATAGCTCTATAACATAGAGCACTGTCATGCATAAACGTAAATGTATTGTTTTTGGAAACCATTCTTGTATTTGAGGGATAAGTTGGCTCTCCATAACCTCTTGATGCTGTATTTGATTCATCATCCCATTGACAATATACAGTCCTTCTGTGTCTTTACAACTGAAAACTGACCACAACATAATTTTAGTTGGATGTTTAATAGTTTGTACAATGCAATCTGGATGATACTTTTTGTTTGGTCTTCTTCAGACGGAGGTGGCTTTGTCTAACAAGATCTCAAAAGTTGATTCGTCTGAAAAACACATCTAAAAAAATCATCATAGTGTGGTTGTAATTAAGTTTATGCCAACATTTAAACACTTTTTTATAAATATTGATAAACTTACACATTCCCAATCTCCAATAGTCACACACATAATTTTTTGCCCATTGCAATCTCTTTTTCATCACAGCTGGAGTTAATCTTGGTTTTTTAGCCGGTTTGTGTAATTTTAAACCAACTTCAGCCAGACGTCTCCTCACTGTGCGCTTCAATACTTGTATTCCAGACTCTTGAACAAGTTTTGTCAGGAAGAGGGATGATTTTTTTCTATTTCCCAGACAAATATCTCTTATAAATCTATCTTTCATGGGAGCGATTTTACGTTTTGACCCACTCTTCTTTTCCTTTTTGGAGAAAGAGTGATGTCGTTTTCCATTTTGTGTTTGATTTTATTGACAAAAGGTTTCGAAACTTTATACATTTTAGCAATTTCTTGTTGTGAACGCTCTGAATGTTGTAAAAGTGCTTTTACTTCTGAAATTTTGCTTGGACTTATGTCCTTGCCCTTACCCATGTTTATTTTTTATTGAAATTTTTAATTACAACCTATTACACTAAAAATGTTAATAAAATAGTACTATATATTAGTTCTTGCTATTTATAGTAACTTTATAAAATATATAAAAAATAATTAAACACTTTTCACTCAAAAATAATCTGCTAAAATATAAAAAAAATGAATGCGACAGATCAACCACGTTTTTTTAAAACTGACAAAAATTCACATAACTTCACATTGGTCATGATTATAAAGAAATTTACTGTTTCTATTTTATTCGATAGATGTCAGTATTGTATAATAAGTTAGTAATATTAATATACTCACCTTAAATAACTTTGAAAACAAAAAATGTGAAAAAACTGAGGTGATCATAATATTGTGGCTAGGGACTATATATATATATATATATATATATATATATATATATATATATATATATATATATATATATATATATATATATATATATATATATATATATATATATATATATATATATATATATATATATATATATATATATATATATATATATATATATATATATATATATATATATATATATATATATATATACTTTTAAGTAAGGTATGTAGGGTAATTTCGGCAGGGAGATAATTTCGGCACCACTTCAAAAGACACCTAAAAATATTTATTTAATGAAATATCAAAACTATAATTGAGTATTACAGAAAGATAAACAGTTTTTCTAAAAATATTGGTTTAAACTTCTATTTTTACATTATAGGTACGTTATTTTATGATTATTAGCTTTTTCTTAACATTTTTTCCTTTTAGAAAATAGAAGATAAATGATTTTTTCCGAAAATTTATACCAAAAATTTGTATTTATTTCATTTTAAAATATACACTGAACAAAATGTGAGCAACACTAAAATTAAACTCAAAGTATTTTACAAGATATAAGAGTTTTCCCAAGGACTGCTTTAAGGAGATAATTTCGGCTTATAAATAGTTCTTAATTTCGGCAGTGCCGAATTTGCCGACCTGTTGTTTCTCCAAAACTAAAATGGAAATAAGCGTTTCAAATATTATGTAAAGAAAAAATTGATTTTAGTAACTCAGATAATATTAAACTAATAACGAGTTAGTAAAAAAGTGAATTTAGTTAGTGTCACTGTGAAACTTATCAAAATAGTAGTTCCCCACCATATATTTTAAATTTATGTCATACATAACAATATGTATATAATAAATTTATAATTTGTTATATACAATAATTATTATTGTATATAACAAATCATTTATTAATTATATACATACTTTTGAATATTATTGAATAATATACATAGAATAATAATATATATATATTTATATAAATATATATGTATATATATATATATATATATATATATACATATATATATATATATATATATATATATATATATATATATATATATATATATATATATATATATATATATATATATATATATATATATATATATACATATATATATATATATATATATATATATATATACATATATATATATATATATATATATATATATATATATATATATATATATATATATATATATATATATATATATATATATATATATATATATGTGTATATATATATATATATATATATATATATATATTTATATATATATTATATATATATATATTATATATATATATATATATATATATATATATATATATATATATATATATATATATATATATATATATATATATATATATATATATATATATATATATATATATATATATATATATATATATATATATATATGTAAACATTATTTTACAGCATCATATAATGAGTTCAAAACGTGTAAAATATGGTAATTGGTCACAAGAATCATTAAAAATGGCAGTAAATGCAGTTTTAGTTGATGGTTGCTCGAAATATTCTGCTGCTAAACAATATAAAATACCAAGACAAACACTACATGACTATATAAAACGAGCACCTGTTGATAATTTTGTTAAAAAGTTACGTGCAAGACACCCAACAACACTCTCAGCTTTTCAAGAAAAAGAGCTCGTAGAAGTTCTTCTGACCATGTCACAGAGATTGTTTGGTTTGTCTCCAAAAGATGTAAAACAAATGGTATTTCAGTTTTGTGAAGAAAATAGAATTATTCACAAATTTAATTGTGAAATTAAGTCAGCAGGAAAAGAATGGTTTAGGGGTTTTTTGAAACGCCATAATGAACTCTCTGTCAGAGTTGCTGAGTCAACGTCATTGCATCAAGCCATTGGTTTTAATAGAATAAAAGTTAATCGTTTTTACGATGAACTAGAAAAAATAATGTTTAATGCTAATAGGATGCAGATTATTCCACCATCAAACTTATTCAACGTAGATGAATCTGGATTGTCTATTTGCCATAAACCAGGAAAAATTGTTGCTCTTAAGGGAAAACACAGTGTTGGTGGCTTAACAAGCTCCGAAAGAAGTAAAACAATCACAATAGTTTGTTGCCAATCAGCAAGCGGGTTTTTTGTCCCTCCGATGTTGATCTATCCACGTATTCGAGTGAAACCTGAATTTTTAGATAAAGCCTTAATAGGTTCTATTTCTGGTGGCAGCAAAAATGGCTGGATAACAACTGAGTTGTTTGAAATATGGTTTGATCATTTTTTACAAGCAGTCCAGCCTCAGTCAAGAAACCAACCAGTTCTTCTAATTTTAGATGGACATTTAAGTCATAAAAAAAATCTTAGTGTTATTAAAAAAGCGCACCACTCAAATGTTATTATTTTATCACTTCCATCCCACTGCACCCACAAACTGCAACCACTTAATGTTTCGTTTTTTAAAAGCCTCAAAATATTCTATGATCAGGAGGTTAGTACTTGGCTTCGTCACCATCCTGGTCGTCCCGTAACTGAACTAGAGGTTGGTGAATTATTTGGAAAAGCCTATGGGAAAGCTGCAACTGTTCAAAATTGTCAGTCAGGGTTCAAAAAATGTGGAATATATCTATTTGATAGAAATGTGTTTACTGAAAAAGACTTTGCTGCAGCCAAGGCTACTGATCACTCGTATGTTGTATCAAAAATTTCAAAACCAAATAATACCTCTGAAATGCACCCTACTCTCAACAATGGGTTAGACTCTGCTAAAGAATTAGATAATATTGATTTTGTTACAGATTGTGTTATTGACACTCAAAAAGGTAAATCGTCATAAATGTTGTATTATTTTTAACATCTTTCGCATTTTATTTAAAATAGAAATATGACTTTTTTAAAATCAAGCAAAATATTAACTTATCTGTTGTTTTATTGACCTAAAAAAAGGTTTCTTAAAGAAAGTTTAAATTTTTTAAAAACATTTTAACTATTTCTTATAATTTGCGTGTTGCCTATTTTTATTCACCCTCTTTAGTTGAATAATTTTTATTTAGAATCTATTTCACCAAATTCATCATTTACACTTCAGAAGTCATCAGAATTAGCCACCTCACACGATGAAACCTCACAACCTTATGGTGTTACATTTGGATCACTAGCTGGACTTGCTGTAGATGGTGGCATGAAACATGTGCTGCTATATGTGGTGTTTATACTAAAAAAGTATTTACTTGTGATGACTGTATAAAGCACTGATTCTTAAAAAAAAAGTTATATGTCATATATTGATAAAATGTGTTTTAACTTTCTTAAATAAATCTCTTATTAAAAAAGTTTCCTTTGAGTTTTGTTTTTTATTTTTTAAGTATAACTATTGAAGTTATGTAAAATATTATTTTATGAACTACTTATGAGCTTATAAACATAAATTCTTATTTAAACAGAATTTAGAAATAATCATCGAAATCGTAGAAATTAGTAATCGTTTCATTAACAATTATACTTTGGAAGCACATTTATATTTAATAAGGTTTCTGTTTTGGGTGACATTCATACCTTAATAAAAAAGGTGACATTCATACTTTAAAAATACATGACATTCATACTTTAATAAAATAAATAGGTGGTTCAAAAATTATTATTTTTTGCAACTGAAACGCCCTTAATTAAGTGCCAATTAGGTGTAACAAATTCTATTTAAGAGACAATTCTTTATACAATCCAGATTTATAGCTGTTTATAATATTTTAAATATATTAATGCGTTTTCAACAAACTTCTTAATTTTCATAACTATGCCGAATTTACCGTACCATAGTGCCGAAAATACCATACTAGGTCGCTAATTTCGTCATTTTTGAGTATTTTGTAAAACAGGTTTTACGTAAAACTTTCTAAGTTGGAAACAATTTTTTAACTATTATTTAATAGATATATCTGCAGTGCATCGATATGCATGATTTTTTAACATTATTAAAGCAACCGTTGTCTATAAACAGCAAAATAGCTTAATACGCCGAAATTACCCTACTTTACCCTACCTCAGAGACAAACGATTCGTGGTTCAAACCCCACCTCTTGGCAAGTTTTGCGACATCTGTTAGGAAGGATGTGTGAACTTCCAATTAAATGCTCATCCGCGGTGATCTGTGATAAGACCGTAATGACTTCTTGGGCACCTAAATAAAATTAAAAAAAAATATTTGATCATTTAAATTTTGATTTGGCCCAATTAAATTAGTAGAAGATGATTGTTCAGGATTTATTAAATATTATGTTTGTGTTACAATCTTTTAAATATGGATTTTCAAAATAATTCGACTCAGGAAGGATTTTTCGATTAAAAGAGCTGATGCCTGTTATTCAAAATCCAGATATAGCATTTTTTAATGTAGCTGTTTTCACATAAGCTTGAAAAAATAGTCCTCAAAGTTTATTAACTGTAAATCTTCTTCCAGTGTTCTCATCCAAGTTGTGCATAGCGTGTTATAAGCACTCTTCAAAGACCCGAAGAAAGTTTAATCAAGTGGTTGCAGCATATGGGATGTATGTGGCGGTAATGATAAAATATGCAATTCATTTTTACTAGCATAATTGAGAAGATCAAGGTTTTTGGTGTATGATTTGTGACCATCAAGAATTAAGATATACTTATTTGTAGTGCTACAATTCGCATGTATTACAGTGTCTTATAAAATCCATAAACAGATTAGTCTCTACACAACCACTTTTAGAGCATCCAACTATTCCTGGTCTGTTGTCCAACTATTCCTGGAACAGTTAGGCTCTGTTCTAAAAGTGGTTGGATAGAGAAATTAGCATCCGTTTTCTTTTAAAAACAATCATAGGAGGTATATAGTGTCACACACAATTAAATGCTAGTATAACAGTCGTTGTTTGGTTACTAAAAATAAAACACGTTAGCATGTAAAAATACAATTATAAAAATATAGACAATACAAAATAAGAATAAATTTAAAATAATAATAATTATTATAATAATAATGATAATAACAACAATAATAATAATAATTTAGTGTTTCACTAAGGCAGATTAAAAAATGTACAGCTTTTCTTTTATTTTCTTTATGAGCTATTACTTTAAAAGGCTTGTGAACACACGTTAGTTCAGACTCATTACAGCTATAGATGCAGTTATAATAACTCTTCTGTTTAGAAAATCTTTTGGATCCGAATATTTATTAACTGCTTTACGTTATCAAGAATATGGCTTGCATCGATCATTTTCACTAAAAAATACGTTTAAAAAAACGTATTCACTAAATCACAAAAATACTAGTTATTTTGCCATCAAACAAATTAAACATTCCAAAAAATAGGTGTGTTAAGATTAGCAAGTAAAACTACAAACTAAATGTTTTATAATAATGAAGGACAATAATTATTACTATTTCCAGAAAAGATTAAAAATTTGTCTCAAATCTCATATCAAATCAAAAATTTGTCTCGTCATCCCCGCAATAGCATACGTAACATATCAACGTTTAGGTGCAATGAGAAAAACAGCACAAAAACTAATTAGCGGAGCTTGCTAACGCCTTAGGAAATTTAACTGAAAAATATTTTTCTTGTGTCTACCCCTTTATGAAGTGTGGTACATTTAGAGTTATTACAAATATAAAACAAATCTTTGGCCATCAAGTAATAGAGTTTTCCTTACAGTTTATTATGCTACAATGTTTGGAAATCTTTTAATAACACAATAACGAGGGCAAATAAAAGCTGCTTACTTTCAGATGCTTTTAAATTACCTGATCTTGCTATTTAACAACCAATCCGCACTATTCTCTAACTTAAAAAGTTTTAGTAGTATTTATAATTTCTATTAGTTTTTTTAAATTTATCTAAATTTTGGAAATTATATGGGAGTATCCAATTGAAAAGCAATTGTATGTTACAGCTAAATGATTTGATTAATGGGAACTTGTGTTATACCAAGTTATTAATATTCTTTAATATTTTTTATTTAGAATATTTTGTACACTGAAAATCACGGAATTGTGAAGTTTTGTGTAAGTACTTGTATAATTACAAGATTCGATAGTAAAATCATAATTTTTTTGTTACTATTTGATTATTAGGGTGAAATACAAGAAGCAAACTTGAGTCAAGTTTGACTTGAACTTTACTTTGTAACCAATAGCGGCAGAGTAATATTTGAAGGGAAAACCCATACTCTGTTGCTATTGGTTGCAATGTAAAGTTTAAGTCGAGCTTGACTCAAGTTCGCTTCTTGCATTCCACCTTAAGTATTATTAAATTCTGCTTTTAGACGCTTTGATTCAAGCTAACACTCGCATGCCTCGCATCGAATTCAGCCAATCTGAATGCGCATATCGTTGAGCCAGTACAGGGTTTCATAATATTCCCCTCTATTTACTAACTGGAACTTTAATTTTGACCAAATGGGGTTTTGAATTAAATTAAACAAACCCCATATTTAAATCTATTCTCGGTAAATAAATTAAAAATGAATACAAAATACTTTTCCACGAGTATTTATATAAGAAAAATGCCCGAACAGTTAAGTATAAGTTAACTTTCCCAGTTTAAGTTATGATTATATTGTATATTAAATAAAATGTAGGTAAAAAATGTATTTCTTTGTTACTTTTGAGAAGACATTCAATGAATAAGTTTGTTTTAATACTTCCTTGTTATTACTAAGCTTTATACAATCAATTTTTCATTTACATTAAATCTCGATCACAAAGCAAATCTTTAAATGCGATTGTTTATTGAGCCTTCTTTCGAAAGGAGGAACCTAAACAAAAATTTATATTAAAACTTCTTACAAATGACAACTTAAAATAAACTAAATTTGAGAAAAAAAAAAAAAAAAAAAAAAAACCTTCTGTCAATCTAGCTTTTCCACCTGTTGGTTGACATAAAACAGTTGAACAGCTTGTACACAAAACAACTGTTTGAGCATGACTGAATACTGTAGTTATTTTATAACAGCCTAAAAGAAAATTAACTCATTGACATCCCTCAAAATTATTTCAAACAAAAATAAAGAAAAAAAACAAAACATTCTTCTAAAACTATCGACTACCAAAAAAATTTATCAACTTATATAATAGTAAAATTTATTACTTACATAATAGTATATTATATAAGTAATAAATTTATATTTATTACTTATATAATAGTAAAATCTGTAAAAAATTATTTTACAGATTTTACTATTTATTTGAACAATAATGCAATGCACACATGAATATATTTTTTATGAAAATATTTTTAGATCATTTCAAAGAATTCTTAATTAATATTTCTTAGAACTTTTTAACTAGTATGAGAATGGAGTCATATCAGCAAAAGAACATATTCATAACTTTTCTATAATATAGCACTTTCACAAATCTATAGCACTTTCTCTTTTTTTAAAATAACAAAAATGGTTAACAAGTGGTAATATAAAAATCCAAAATAAATACCAGCATTACATAAATAAATATATTTTTTTAGCACCAAAGATTTTTTTATAGGCCATTGAAAACTATTGTATAATAATTATATATTTAATACTTTTTCAATGATTAATAGTACTTATTATAGACATACAAATTATCATATAAATAATTACTATTTATTATTAATTCATTAATTATAGTAATCATTATAAATACTTTTTTAATGATTAAAAGTAAATACTATTAAAAATACAAACTATCATTATAAATAATTATCATTTACTACACACTCCTCAATTCAGTGTAGTTGAGGCAATTTACAAAATATTTGAATACTTTTATTTTGAATTAGCATGGTTTTGACAGCATATAATGTCCAAACAAGATCTTTAAATGCTACAATTTTTTTTTTTTTGCTAAAGGTTTTTATAATATTTAAAGAAACTTTTTTTTACATATATTTAATTTTCAAAAGCTTTTTACTGCCCATAATAATGTATCTAAAGAATACTATTTTGGAGTCTTTAGATCAATCCCGCTAACTGACATTAACATTTAGTTAAAAATCTTTTGAAAAAGTTCCTTAATTTACTACTACTGATCCTAGTTCTAATCGGTTCTGATGTATATATTAACTATATAAAGCTGTCAAAACACAATATTTCTATCAATTTTCACAAAAAAATACTAGAATTCCAACCAAGAAAGAGCTTATAATTATGGAAAATTGTCAATAAACGATCAGAACAGATTATATAGTTAAACTATAATGTTCATTTTAGTTAAAAGCATATTAATATAAAATCTTATCCAAATTTGGACAAGCGTTTGTGATTTTAATTAAAAAAAAACAAAAAAAAAAAAACGAATCCTTGGTCTGGGTTTTTTCGCTACAAATATTTATATTTTATGATACTGCAAAATTTATCATTTTAATTTTTTTGTCTTTTTATAATTCACAGACCATTTAATATTTTGAAAGTACTTAACTATACAGAGTAGGCTGCTAAACTGTAAATAAATTTATGATAACCGAGAGATTTTAATTTATAACATGACACAAACACAGTTGTGTCTACCCTCATTAAGTTTTGGTTATATAATCTTTTACTATCAGAAAAAACTACATTATATACATTATTATTTGGGAGATAACAAAATGAACTATTACAAATATAACTGTATTTTCAACTATATATATTAATTTAAATTGGTACCTACATGATAAATTATTACACAAAATGATTTTACATTAAAAATATATATATATATCCCATGTTTAATTTCCAATTCTAATAGCTTCAAAGCCAAAAAAAAGTAAAGTACTTTAATAAAATGTTTTTCTATTTCTTAACAATTTGAAAAAAAATTCTTTAACATTTTTACAAAAATAAATTATCAGTATTTACTTCATTAAATAGTCGTAAATTTTTCTTAGTCATCACTATTTCTAGATACTTATAATAATTGGTTTTATTTATATATGTGCATGTGTGTGTGTGTATGTATGTATATATGTATGTATGTATGTATGTATATATATATATACATATATATATATATATATATATATATATATATATATATATATATATATATAACAATTAAGACATCAAGTGAGGCAATCATCATCAACAATTTTAGCTTTCAGTAGAGTTTTACCTCTTACCTGGACATTTTACATCCATAAAATAAGAATTAGGAGAAGGAACCAATCTGCTGAATTTATGTTTTCGTCTTTCTTCTTCAAGGGAAGGATGCAACAAGTCTTTAAAGAGCTATAAAAGAAAAAACAGAACATCGGCCTTAAGTGGTAATAGATATATTTTATTGTATAGCAGATTCTAAATTCAGATATGGTAGAAATACTTTTACGATAAATACGACAAGTCATATTTTTATACATACAGGGTTAATAAAGAAAAAATACTATTTCTGTTCGATTAACCAACCTACATATCAGGTAATGTGCGCATACATGCTTTATGGCTCCTTTTACTATTAGATATTTTGTTTTAATGTTGCGATATCGAGCTAAATCGACATCGTGACAAAAAAGATGGCGGAACAGATGAGACGAATAAAGTTAATTTTGAATGAAATCATTAAAAACAAATTCCTAAACTCGTTTTATATCAATTTTTTAATAAACCAAAAAATCTTTTACATAATCTGACACAAAAATAGGAGTAGCAATACTAAAATAATCCCTGTTTCATAATTTAGCCATTTGTTGCATATTTTAATGCAAGAACTTACAAGTATTTCTTTTATTAACATATCATCATTTTTAAACATGCAAAAGGGACGAATATAAAATGCTCTTAGTCACAATACTTATAACAATGTAATAGTAAACTGAATTTCACAAAATCAAACATAACGTACAGGCATTCTAAATGCTCGCCTTTTTCACTTGGCCGCTTACTGTAAAGGAAGTCTGGGAAAGACCATCTAAAGCATTTATACAACATTAAAAAACGACCCGGATGATGAAACATGCGTAGAAAATTTTGTTTTTGAGTAAAAAGAGGAACGGCATATTTATCATTGTTCCAAATAAGCCGTACAAAAGTCTTACACTAATTCCCCATATAACACATTTCATTTTTTTAATGTTTAAAACTATAAAACAATATGATGAGAGTACAGAGGCAATTCTACAAATAGAATGAAGGGGGGGGGGGGGTAGTGAGTCCTTAAAAACTTAATAAGTACCGATTGGTTTCTTAAAATAAAAAAAAATGTCGTCAAAACTAAAAATCACCCGACTGAATTGTGTTAAATACCCGAATAGCCGACTGAATTTATCAAAAAACCGACTGAATTTGTCAAAAAACCGGCTATAACTTGAAAATCACCTACTTTAAGAGTTAACCTGCCCCTCCCCCCCCCCCCCCCCAAATTGCTTCTGGTTCTGTATTATATTGTTTAATTAACAAGTATTTTTTTTTTTTTTTCAATTTTCCGTTTTTGTTACAATTAAATTCTGTAATATAATTCCAGATACTCTTATTCTTTCAAAAATAAACCAGTTATAAATATAAAAAATCAAAGACAAAATAATAAGAGTTAGTTATACAAAAATAAATAAAAACGCGGGAAACTTGCAGAAGACCATTAAGTCTTATCATCAAGAACCGTTGTAATAATTACGTTTTTGCAATATTAAATTTCTATAATAGTGTTAAAAGCAAAACTTAATTAACTAAGGTAAATAGTGTTAAAACCAAAAACTTTTCAATGTAAAAAGACAAAAACAAAAAAACAAACAAACAAAAAAATAAAGCAGTTTAAAAGAAATCATTAATAAGATTTGTATACTTTGAAATATTCTTTTTTATTAGTTTTTGAAAGCAATTTATATTGTTTACACCTGGTAAATTACTATATTTGCTAAGATTTTGTTCCAGATATGCGAAGCACGATACATAATTTTAAATTGTTCTTGTTTAGTTTTGCACAATGGTTCAATTAAGCCTGTTGTGCGTAAAGTATATTTAATGTTAGGTTTAATTTCATAAAGATCATTAAAAACTGAGGGGCATTGTTGAAATTTACTTTTGTACATGAGACATAAAATTTTATAAATGTTTATCTCGTATAACGTAAAAATATTTATAATTTCGAACAGTGGTTTTGCATGTTCGTTTTTATTTTTAAAATTCTTAAGGCATGATTTATTATTCTTAAGGCATGTTTTTGTTTTCGATAGAGTGTTTCAAGCTTGCTTTTAGATGTACTACACCACGCAATATTCGCGTAATTCAAGTAACTTTGTATAAAACTGAAATAGATTTGTTTTAGATGATGCTTATTAAGTAAATCTCGTGACTGATATAGAATGCCGATACTTTTTGATATTTTGCTGCCAATATAGGCAATATGTTTATTCCAGGTAATATTTTCGTCAATGAGAACACCAAGAAATTTTGTGACTTTTTCGCGACTAACTTCTGTGTTTTCAATAACTAGTTTTGGAAAAAAAATCGGATATTTTTTTTTTAAAGGGTGGATTAATGAGAACTTTGTTTTATTTGAACTAATAGAAAGTTTATTTGCATTGAACCATAGTGAAATTTTATCTGACTCGTTGTTCATTTGTACGAAGAGTTGAGGTCTATCTTTTCCTGAAATAAAGAAGTTACTGTCGTCAGCAAACATAATTGTTGATATATTTGACGCTCTCCAGAGATCATTCACTTATATTAGGAAAAGTAGAGACCCAAGAGTAGATCCTTGGGGCACTCCACAAGAAATTAAAGATGAATTTGTAAGTTTTTTATTTCCGTAATATATGGACTGTGTACGTTTACTCAGGTAATCTGCTATCCACCTGCAGGATACGCCTCTTATGCCGTACATCATAAACTTTTTTATCATTATTTTATGATCCACTGTGTCAAAGGCCTTGGAGAGGTCAATAACCACGCCTAAAGTTAATTTTCCGTTTGCAAAAGAGTTTTTTATTTTATTAATTAAGTGAAGTATTGCATGTTCAGTTGAAGTGCTTTTCTGGAATCCAAACTGTTTTGAATAGAATAAGTCATTATCTTTAAAAAATGCATATAACCTAATTGAACATAATTCGCTCAAAAATCTTAGAAAAAATGGAAAGTATAGATATTGGTCTGTATTGATTCAAAGTCGTTTTATAATAATCTATATTTGCCAGTTCTTAATATCAAATTCTTATATACCATTTTTATATTCATTTTTACAATAGCTAAAACAGTTCAACTGTGCAAAAAGGTGAAAGTGAAAAAAAAATTTAATTTCGTTTTCTTTTGTGTGAAACATTATTGCCTCTTTTATCTACTTTTTATGATAATATTTTTATAGAATTCTAGGTTTATTAATGCTTCATTTTGTCTTGTTTAGATTGTACGTGTGCAGCCGTGCTGCTGTGGTAAAAGTTTTGATTAGAACCAAGAGGTCACAATTAAACTCTCAGGATAACATTTACGTCTCTCATTCTTAGTTTCATGAAGTAAAGGATAAATACCTGCATTATGTATTACCGATGAATTTCTAATAATTTGATACTGTTTATCAGAAAGGTCACACTGAATTTTTAAGCTCAAGGCATCTTCGGTTTTCATTTTTATCGGAATATTTATCTCCGTGATTTTAACTTTTTCAGAGTTTGTAGCACTTTTTATGAGAACAGCGAAGTCTTTTTTGTTAGGATCTCTTGTAGCTTTTGATTTTTATTTTTTCTGCTTTTATATCTACCTGTTAGTGGGAAAATATTAAAACTACCATGGAATCTAGTGGAATATTTTAGTTTTTAAACTAAACTCATAATTAAACAAATTTAAAAAAATCAATTTATGACACATTTTTAAGATCTCAGTAATGAATAATCTACAATAAAAATGAATATAGTTGGCCATTTTAATGATCATTGTAGATATATTGCACTGATATATGATTAACAAAACCATTACGTATTAGTCGATCACCAATCTTTTATCTTATAACATGTGCCCAACATTTTTCGTTTTCTGTCTTCATTATAAGAGGAATATAATCAGACATTCTGACAAGCTCAAAAAAAAATTATTTTCTACTTTTTAGGTCGCTTGAAAAATATTGCTTTTAGAAAAATTCATTCTTTATTGTAGATTATTTTCTACTTTTTAGATTTGTTTGGTTAGAATCTTTGAAACGAATTAAAATATGTTACAAATTTTTTCTCTAAGTGCTCACTAAAGTCCTTATTTATTTTTTCTGCATATAAAATTTAATTTTGTTGAAATTGAGAGAAAACTTGACTGCTGAAGCTTGAAAATGGTTTTAAATTGTATTGCTATCGGGTTTTAAGTTATCCTGAAAGTTTCAGAGCTCTAGCTAGTCGGTAAGTGGGTTAAATATAGTTTCAAAGATTCTAACCGGACGGACAAACACACACACAAGAAATTAAGTTTAGAAAAAACGTTGTAAAATCTAAAAATAAAATTTATTGTCAAAAATGTTGTTAATAGTTACTAAACATTTTAAACATTTGACTTCAAATTAAGTTTTGAACAGTTTTTACCCATATCCATTCTAAAGGATTGACACTAAAGCGTGACTTTTTTGAACAAGTTTTCCGATAAATAAAAGTCTTGAAAAAAGGCGTACAAATAGGTGAAATCTTAAAAATTTTCACAAAAAAATTAATTATTGTTAATAGTGGTATTTAGTTACATTATAGTATAATTAATAATATAACAAATAGTTTTTTATGATGTTTTTTTTTGCCATTTTTTATGGATTTTGATTCACGGTTACCCGCCGTTTAATAATGCTACCCGGGCAGTAATCAACGAGCGGTTACCCGTCGACAGCTTTAATATATAATGTTTATTTTGTAATATAATGTTTATAACATGTAATGATTTTTAAAATTAAAAGTTTTTCACTCTCAGACTATGAACAGAGCCATGCGTTTGGTGGGAAAGCTGATTTACATCAAAACAATAGGCCGGGTGAATAAAAAAAAGCCGCTGCTTTTACTCAGTAATTAAGCTGATTTAGAAAGCAAGACGGGAACGTGAAAAAAGCTAGGGAAACCCCAAAACAAGACTGGTGCGGAATAATTTTTCACGTCTTGACTTTTTGAAGTCGCGTTCTCAACCTCAAAACAAACATTTCCGCGTCTACTTCAAAACGTCAAATTAAAGATGGATGATACTTGTACTTCGCCGAATTCAAATCCAGATGTTTGTCCAAATGCAATATGTTCTTCACCAAATTCAAGCCAAAAAAGGTAAATTACTTCGTAAGATTTTTCAATATATAACTTTATTCAATCTGTTATTAATTTAACTATTAGTTCTGAGATTTATTTCTTATAAATTATAGTTGTTGACACTAATTGTGACTACATCTAATGAAATATATTACTAAAATTATAATATAATTTTAATTATATATTTCACTAGTTGTGATCACAATTAGCGTTTCTACGAGTCAACAACTCTTAAATAGTATTTGAAATACTATTAAAGTATTTTTAATATATTATGACAGTAAAATATTTTAAATGACAGTGAGTTATTTTATACCAGTGAAACTCATTTTTTTGTAATGTTATTAATATTTTTGTTAGATATGTCACAACTAAAAATATTAAAACTTTACTTAGTAATCATTTGTTTCATTGATATTAATAAAATTGTGATAATATTTTACACAAATATAATTATATATTGCATTATATATATAAATTATAGAATTATATATCAATAATAAATATATAATTTATATAAATTATATTTGGTACAAATACAATTTGTAAATATCAAGTTGTTGACAAATTTACTCAAGTAGTTTTATTTATAATATGTTGACTATGAATTTTTTTCTCTGGAAAATAAGTTATCAATGTTTACATAAATCTGTCAACAATTTATAATCAGGACTTAACTCAAAATTAACATATATATTAATTAATTGATTTTATTTAGAACATGTATGCAATGGAATATCGAAAAAGATATAATGATGATGAGGGAAGTGGCAGCTTTAGGTGTCTTAATTCAAAAGCCTGGAAGTAAAGAGCGTGGGCAGCTGTGGCAGCAGGTTTCTGATTCATTAAACAAAAACGGTTTCTATGTTACAAGCAGAGGAGTACGAGATCGATTATCTAATATTATGAAAAAGCATCGTGCTCAGGCGAACAAGGAAAAAAAACTTTCTGGTGAAGGTGGAAAAGAAATAACTGAATATGATATTTTGGTTGAAGAATTAATTGAAGTCAGTGATGACACAGATGCTCAGAAAGATGAAAAATCTCAAGAAAAAAAAAATGCAGTAGATGAAGATCGTGTGAAAGCTATAGATATAAGAAATACTGCTATGGAGCGTTATGGGGAAACAAGGAAACGAAAAGCCCTTAATAATGAAGACAAGTCTCCAAAGACATCTCGCAGATCATCAAATGATACATTGATATTTTTGCGTGAAAAAATGGAAGCAGATAAAGAAAATAGACGCATTGAGCGAGAAGAAAGAGCTGAAGCAAGAGCTCTTGCTCAGCAACAACAAAATAATATTCAAAATATGTTTAATCATATGTTAGCTCAACAAACAGAAATATTAAAAATGTTATTAGAAAAAACAAATTTGTAAAAAGAAGTTTTTATTTTTAATAAACTAAATTTTTTCTTTTGAACTTAATTGTTATGTTAGCATTTTTTGGGAATAAATAATTCTTTGTGTGACTATCTTTTTATATTTTAAAGAATCGTGAAAGTTTAGCAATATTTTCAATAATCTATAAGATTTACAACAGGCATACTTTTTAATAAGTTTATCATTATAATTTCTTATCGATATTGAATTATTGAAAATACTCTTGTAGTGAGGGAGCTTCCAAACCAAAATAATCTGAAACAATGTTCCCATAAAGACAAGTGTGTGCATTTTGTATTAATGAGCATACAATATACACTTTTCCAATGGGACTTGAGCCAAGTTTTTGAGACTGTTTAAAATCTATAAATTTAAAATAATTTGTCATTAAACCAAATACCCACTCAACACTAACACGATGTGCACTCATAGCTTTGTTAAATGCATGTTGGTCTGGGGTAATATTCAAACTTCTGTATGGTGCTAAGAGGTGTACTCCAATTGGATAGGCTGGATCACCATATAAACATAAAGGACGCCCATCATGCCATGCAAACTGCTGCAACTGTTGCAATAAACCAGATTCGCATAACATAGTGCTATCATGTTTTTTACCCTCAAACGGACCAGCTAAGTTTGCTATCATACCATTTGGAACTACTATACTTTGAAATTTTAGTGCGTGAACTCTCTTATGACCATTATAGACAATTCTTTGATTTGTTTTAGGCCTAGCAATTCTACGAACAGTTCCATCGATAAAACCAAAACAATTATCTAGGGGTGCCCCTTTTCCATGGATATAATCAGCAAACTGTCGTAGATTGTTTGATTGTAACATAGGTTGATCCCAAAGTAATAGTTTATGACTAAGCTTATTGTAAACATGATCAATTACAGTGTTAAATATCAGACAAATTTTCTACCAAACGTATTTGCCAAATCAGTATAGCGACATGGAAATGCTAATCTTTTAAGCATAATGCATAAGGCTTCCATTCCTCTACAGATTGTTCCTTGAGTGCATTTTATTACATCAGGTAATCTGAAAATATTTAGCAAATGTGGTAAGTCAGTTTTTCGAAAACGTAGATCAGTCCAACACTGTGCATCATCCAGCAACGATAGGTTAAACTTATTGTAGTCCCAGTGAGGATATATATCTCTTGAATAGCTTAGTTGATAGAGCAGTGCAAATTCACAATCATCTATTATGTCCTCGGAGTAAGCAATTAACAATGAGTCTCTTGCAGTTTTAAGGCTGTTCAACGCAGTCATATTTCAACTTGATACTTTTTTATTTTAATTATTACTTTTTTTATTTTACTATTACTAATAATATATATATATATATATATATATATATATATATATATATATATAATTAAAAAAAAAAAAACACTAATTAAAATAAAACAAAAAATTTGATAAAATTTATTTCATTTTATTTTTATACAACGTTGCATTTTTTTTAAACAAAAACATTCGATACTCCTTTTTTTTGAATAATCGAAATCCTAAGTCCACGTTCTGGTTTGTAACTTTTCTAAATCAGATTAAAAATAAAATGAGACAACGAGAGCGCGGCGTTCTACAATACGTCCGCGTCTCAGTTTCTAAATCAGCCTATTGGTCAGCTTTACGTGAATAAAGATTTCAGCAATTTTGCTTAAACTTTTATTCACGTAAAACTAAACAATTACTCAGCGTTTTTAGAGTAAATTGCATAGCTTTAAAAATTTAAAAATTTGAGCGAGTTTGCTAAAACTTTTATTCACGTAATTTTTTTTTTTTATTTATCCGGTCTAATAGCTCTGAGATTTGATGTTACTCCTGTTTCCTGATTCAACTTGATAAGACTTTTTAATCCAGAATTTTAATTTTGATCATAGATCAGAATCCGAGTTCACCCCTCACCGAGAACTTAATTAACAATTGGAATTTTTAATTATGAGAAAATTAAAAATGTACTTTTTAAAATAAATATTATTTAAACATATATATATATATATATGTGTGTGTGTGTGTGTGTGTGTGTGTGTGTGTGTGTGTGTGTGTGTGTGTGTGTGTGTGTGATTTAATAAGACTTTATTTAATTTTAAAATTATAAATTAATAAAATATAAAATTTTATTTTATCAAATACAAATTTAACTTTTTTAAATAAAATTAAATAATAATATAAAACATAAACTCAAATATTATTAGTAATATTTAATATATTATTTTTTAAAATTCTTAAAAAAGCCTTAATGAAATTTTGCGCGACCATTTAAGATATTGAAAAGCTTTGACAGGAACACAAGCAACGATATTAAATCACTCAAATGTTCAAAAAAAATTTATTTTTTTATTTATTGAAATAAAAAAAAAAAACCATAACATTTATGAAAACATAGAGACAATAGTTAACATTAATTCAAATTCTCATGCAATAAAAACAGAACTATTAAAAAGCAAGATTCTTAATTTGTATGGAATAAGACATTCAACACATATTAATAAGACAATTATAAATATATATATATATATATATATAAACAAAAATATATAACAGTATTTATGTTTCCCCTCGTGGGTATAAAATATCGTAATGTCCTGGTCTATACAATAGATATATAGCGGGCTTCGAACCATCATCTGGAAAATTATGATGGTTGACCGAGTCTTTGTGACCGCCTCTATCCATATATTCAACTTGAACTGTTGTTTTTAGAATATTTGTAAGTGCTATTATGTGTATATGATCGCTTTCTTTTGCCATGGGTTCAACTTCCTAAAAAAATCTTTTTCCAAAAATGTTCGTATTCAAACAAAAAAAAAACAAAAAAAAACAAAAAAAAAAACTATAATCATAAAAAAAGACAAAAAGTTAAAAATAATACAAAATTCATATCAATCTACCAAATAGATATCGAACAACGTCTCCAGTCAATCGTTGCAAATAGATATTGAATAACGTCCCCAGTCAACCGTCGCAAATAAGAAATAAAATTTACGGAAGCTTTTTAAAAAGTATTAAAATAACTCATATAAAAGATAAGACTTCAAATTCAAGCAGTTTGAAAGCACTAGGCCATAGGGACGACATTAAAAATTATCCAAAAAGTATAACGGTAAATTATTGGTTACATAACGGGGATAAAATTTTAATATTATTTTGACCGTTATGTTAGTTAAAAATATGCATAAAACATGTTGGCAAAATTTTATATATATTTATATATAATAATTTAATATAAATAACTAGATAGTAAATAACCTTTTCCTAATAGGTGTTAATAAATTTGGCTGCATGAAAGTTACCAGCTAAACTATCAGCTAAGCTATATAAAGCGTGTATAAGAAATAAATGTGAAAGTAGAAAAATAACTAAAAAAAAGTACCATTCAATTTTTATTTCCAACCAAGAATAACTTTAATACAATAATATAAGAAGATCAAACATAAAAAGAAAAACAAATTATTCCTATGGGAATCTAATAAAATTTCGAACTTTTGCTTTGGTGGTACCCATAAGCTTGTGCATAGAATAAGAATTGAAGCCATTTGATGCTTTTTCAAATGATATTTTAATATCTTTAATATTTCTGCAAAGTTTTTTTGTTTTTTTCATTTTTCTTTTAATAATGGCCCAGTACTTTTCAATTCTTAATTCTGGGCAGTTTGGAGGATTTTCTGTTTTAGGCACAAATTTCACATTATTATTTTTATACCATTCCAAAGTTAGTTTACAATAATGAATTGAAGCTAAATCTGGCCAGAACACAGGTATCGTGTGATTTAATGAGAGGTAAAAGGCGTTTTTGTAAACACTCTTTAACATATATTTGACCCGAAAGTGTGGGCTGGAAATATAAGATACTGATTTTTTGCCACAACTGCAAATAGCTTGCCAAAGACTTTTTTGTCAAGACTTTTTTTAGCAAACTTGTCATCTTTTATGTATTTAAATTTCTTATCTGCTTTTCTTCTACATTTGGCAATATAATAGACGGCACCAGGAATTTGCTGATGATCGTACTTGATATAAGTTTCATCGTCTTCAATAATACAGAAATTTTTAGAAATAAAATTGTCATACAAATTTCTGCAGCGGATTTTTGCACTTTTTTGTTGAGTTTCAGATCGGTTGGGCACTTATTGTGCTTTGAAAGAATGAAAACCATGTTTATTTTGAACTTTTACAACAAAACTATGAGAAAGTCCATAAATGCTTGCGCGCTCCCTTAGTGAAAGGCTTGGGTAAGTCTTAAAACTGTTAACCAGTTTCCTAACTAGTTTTTTATCTTTAAAACCTTTCTTTCTTCCACTACCAGTTAGCAAATACATCTATACACCGTTAGTTATTACATGACTGTAACGATGTAAAGATGTATTTGCAATGCTTTTGCTATCGAATTATAGCTACTACTGGGATTTTCCAAATATTTGTGCATAATTTTTTCTCTTATGTTTTTTATGTCTTCTTTTGTCATTTTTAAAACTAATTTTAAGTTAAATCAAAAAACTAATAGATTTTTTTGAAACCACAACACGTTGAAACCACAACACGTTGTAAACAAAATACAAAACAATTAAAAAGATTTTAATATAACCACTGAAAAAAAAGACGTACTTATTCTTTCACATTTATTTCGTGTACACACTTTAACTGACATCATACAATTCTTGAATTACTTGATTCTTATCTTATATAAAAAGTTAAGTAAACTGTTACATTAGCCCTTCTAAATAAATTAGCCCTTCTAAATAAATAACTGTTCTTCACTTAACAGTACTTCTTTTACTAAAATACACATAGTTGTACACCAAACAAGCTTCCTTGATCTTTAATTGTAGAGAATAATTACATTTAGCTTTATGACTAAACTACCCCATCTGTTATGCAGTTCAGTAAAACCTTTTTTGACAACAGCAGACAATAAAATGTTACCATTTTGATATGCCACGCAGAACAAAAGATCCTTCCAATACTGGTGAGCACACAAAGGCAAATCACAAATTCCATCTCTCATACATGAGTCCAATCTTATTACCTTTCCAAAGAACAAGAAAGAATCATTTACAAAGTACATTTTCTCTTTTCATTTTTATTTCTTAAATCTAATGACAATACAAAATTCATCTCTTAAATCTAACAACCACACTTCCATTAATAAATTTCTCACTTGAACTCTTCTATCGTTGAGGTCTCAACAATATTCCTGATAGTCTTAGAAAATCGTTTAAAAAAACAAAAAGAAAAAACATTTTGTAGTGCATTAGGTGGAAGTGAAGAGTAAAGAGCTATTGCTCTTATCATATTAAAAATTTTCAATAAAGTCTAGCATGCTGATCTTCTCCATAAGTTTTCTTCATAAAATGTATTAGAGAAAGTTTTTAAAATTACTGAAAAGTCTATTTAAAATCACTGAATCATCTATTTAAAGTTACTGAATCAATCTAACTGCAGTACTAAAGTTGCCTTTAATGGACATCACTTTTTTATTATTTTTAGTCACTTTCAGGGTACCACAAGGTTATATCCTTAATCTAGTGTTGTTGCTCATCTACATGCAAAATCTACCTGAAATTTTTACCTCTGTTTTACGTTTTCTCTGATTGTTTTTCCTTATTGACTTCTCATGGAAACCACAACAATCCATTCTCATGGAAACCACAACAATCAATTCTCATGGAAACCACAACAATCAATTCTCATGGAAACCACAACAATCAATACACAATCAATTGCAAATCTACTAAAGTTACCTCAATTTATTGTTTGTTATTTTCTTACTACTGGTTCCATCCTTAACACATCTTTATTCTTCCTTGTATAGAATACTCTGCCATACTTAAGCTGATTTTTTTAACAATGCCTTTTCATTTTTAGATTAAGTTTAAAAATGCATTGTAAATGTGATCGGACCTGCTGTAACTGCTAACTTAATGTGATTTAGAGCCTTTCTTTTCTTTTGCATAAAGTTGTAACTTTTCCTTTTTTCTACAAATATCATGGTTGTATTTGTAGAAAAAACATTTCTTTGTGTACAATATATAAAAATACAATTACAACTTGACTACATGAAGTACAGCATACTGCTGCATTATTACAATGTTGTTGCAAAATTGCAAATCCTTCTTACTTATTCTTTATATATTAAATTTCAAACTTTAGTTCAATTTTTCAATACTTGTTCAAAAATTCTGTTTAGAAAAGCACCCCTCCCCCCCAAAAAAAAATCGCTTTTCAACACAGTCACTTAATTGATTGTAGTTCCTGTTCGATTTTCATTAAACTTAATAACTTTTGTTTGAATTTTAACAAACTGAACTCTTAATTAACAATTTCAACAGTAAGCAGTGGATTGCAGAAGCAGAACTGCAGATTACTTAATTAACTGTGCTACTGTTAGAGTAAATGTTCATGTTAAAACCATAATATTTTTATTTAAAGCAACAACATAGCATCTCTAGTGGTCTACTAAGAATTGTAAAAAAAGCACAGTTTTTGAAATTGGGCTGGTATTACAGAAGCAGTTGATTACTAATAAACGACAAACTGTCGCTCATAGACAAGCTACAAAGTGATCAAAACTTGATAGTGCAAAAAATGTGTTGAATCAGATAATTGTTTTCTTATAATAAGGAAATATTTCAATGATAACAGAAAGGAAAGCTTGTGAAAAATAAGTGCACTGTCTAAGAAGAATGCAAAATTTCATTAACTTTTTTTATATTATCATTCATTGTTATCAGCGCTTGTCAAACTGAAACATACATCAAAAGAACTCAGTTTAGCATTTCTACTGTGAGTGAAAGATGCTGAAAAAGCCTTGAAGAATAGCAAAGTATTTAGAGGCCGTGAAAACAGACCAGACAAAATCATTTGGCTTTCATGAAAAAAAATTGGCATTACAGTTACATTCAAAGAAGACTGTAAAAACAAAGACTCTAAAAGTAAGAAAAAAATGAGTAACACCCCTATTGTAAAACTTGACCACAACGAATTAGCAATTCATAAATGTTCTCAAATCTCAAAAAGTTGCTGCCAGTGCTTCCATGTTGAAAAAATAGAAATAAGTTTATCATATATAATATGATAAACTTAAATTAAATTAAGTTTTTACTTAATTTAACTTAAGTTTATCATATTATAACTAAAATGTCAAATTTTCAAAAGGCTGATATTGTACAACTGATTTAAAGTACATTTTTAACCTTTTAGAAATGAACATGAATTTTCTTTAAGACAACATTGGCCATGTCGCAATGTCATGCCGTCTATTGTTTCTGTAGTCAAACATAAAAACAACTTTTTTCATTGTAGTCAGCAAGTGCAGACTGTCATTGACAAAAAATTTTTCTTTCCATTGTAATAATTTTGCACCTTCTTTTCTTTTCTATAATAACCATTTTCTATAATAACCAAATAATATTTCTATAATAACCATGATCACTGCTCAAGCAAGCTATCATCTCTTGTTTCATCAACCAAAAATCAATTTTGACTAGTCATTTAGCTAAGTCACATTCTTTTATAGTAACTGTTTCCTCATGTTTAAAAAATTTAATCATCTAGTTTTTTTCGTGAATTCTCAGGAATTCTTCTTTAGCTATGTGTTTAACTAACCCATACAATTTACAGTTTTTTTAATTTTTCTGTTTTGGTGCATTTTATTACTTTATTAAAGTAGCCATTAGTAAGAAGTAAATATCACTATTTATTAGTGTAGCCATTAGGTATTTTTAGCAGTTGGTATTTTTCAGAGAGTATTATTATCAACCATT